ATTGAGCAATTTCAGCTTTCCAGCTGCATGTTCTTTTATTGCAATAAACCAAATCAATTCAATTCATTTCAATGTATTATGACACATCAGTATTTTCAAAGCGTTGGTATTCTCCAGATTGTGACCACTTTTGTACTTCATCAATAGTATATGGTACTTAACAATCTTTTGTACAGTGTAGATGCACTTGTTTTGAGAACTTAACAGGGTCTATGTGCTTTTTTGAGAGTTTCTGACGAGTAATACGTTTTTCTGATCAATGTTTTATTTGCGACGATCATTTCAATGGTTCCTAAGTAACGCCTTGTGTATCTCTTCCTTTATTATGTTTGTTGTTTAGTGAAATTAGTTAATTCATGTTTCTTTCCTTTTGACTGGTTTGTTTTCATTGTTGTCTGGCGTTTTCTGGATCTGCGTATTCGTTTCATCAAGAGTCACACGGGGCAGCTGTGTGATCGCGGCGGGTAGGGGGAGCATATGGGGTTATTTTAGACCGTAGAGCCTTTGGTTCATTCTGTTGTGGGCTGGTAATGAATGAAATGGCAGAATTAATGGTCCGTCTCTCTTCAGCTGGGGAGGGGGGGGGGGGGGTTCTACCTCTGGTGGTGCCTTCCCGACAGCATATATTTGATGAGCCACATGAGATTATCTCCTCATGTTACTACTGTACATCTCTGTAATTCTGCTGGCTATTTTCCATTCTATGTCCTCGTTTATATTTGTTTGCCACTGGAGTTTTATGCTTAGGTTTTTATCTTTTTTCAGTCTCAATTTCTTTCTTTGCTCTCTCCAATTTGGTATTTGATTGGGGGGGCAACAGGCCCCTGGCAAAAAAATGTGCTCTTCTCACCCCAGTGTTCATTTCCTTTCAAAGAGCATGATAACAGAGAGAAAAAAGGGGGAAAGAACTGCATTGATTTCTGCAAAATTACGAGTCTTGAAAAGTCAAACTACACTTAACAAAGGACTTGAATGATTTTTTTTTTTACACATTATAACATCAACCCGAAAAAGAATACATTGTATATATGGATTATGGACAATTATTGTTCAACTCCAGAGAAAAATAAAAAGAAGAAAAAAAAAGACAAGATGAATGCACATGAACAATCAAGTATGAATCATACTGTACATAGATTCCCTTTCTTATTACACCAAGTTGAAATAAAAAACACAATTATCTTTGAATAAGTTGTCAGAATAAATGTTGGGAATAACCTTGAGTGGGTGGGTACATGTAGAATACATCATTCACTACCAGTAGGGTGCGGCCGGCCCGGACTTTGAAAGAGTCTGGAGAGATTATGGTGACTGAATAGTTCTCATGACCTCACGAGGTCACCACTGTGGCATGCCCTCCAGACAGTAGGCCTGTTTTCACTAGCTCGAGATTGCCAAATATCCCACTTTTTCAACTATCCCGATCCCAAACTATCCAGCTAATTTGCGTCTTCATCAGCCCGAAGTTGCAATTAGCGGGATATTTGGTCGGGATCGTCATCCCAAGATATCTTGGGATAGTTTGCAAAACATCCCACTATTTGGCAAAACATCCAGCTATTTGTCCGGTGCGTCTTCACTAGACCGAAGACTCACACCATGCGAAATATCTCGAGCTAATTTCTCAAGGTCGAGTTTCAAGTTTTGAGGTCGAATCTCGAGCTGATGAAGACACAATTTGTATCTTCAGGATTATTTCCCAAATTTCCCAAATCAGAAATAGCGGGCTATTTGGCAATCTCGAGATGATGAAGACGCGCTTAAAGAGATCAATTATCATTTTCAATCTTCTCTTCTTTCTCCTATATTAGAACTGTGATTACCCCCCCCCCCCCCCCCCCATATTATCTCCTAATGGACTATTGTATACAACTAATACAAATACTGGTAAGTAGTCTTTGAACTAATTAAAATCAAGGGAAAGATAATATCAAAATAAAATAACAGACACTGGTGAAAAAAATAAGAAAAACATGTAGAGGGTGGAGTCAGACCAAACAGAGATTGTTCTCATATAACTTTATGATGTCAGTCTATTTGAATGTCGGTATTTGTGTCAAGATTTCATCAAGGTTTATTCAGGTTTGTAGTATAAAGTTTTAAAAAAGACCCATACATGCACTTCTTTTGCATCAACATATTATTTACATTAACTCCATTATCTACCAATAGTATATCCAACAGGGTCAACACAGGATAACCTCGCACCCCCCCCCCCCCCCCCCCAAACTCCATATGTTTTTCCGACATTCTGATCGGCATGTAATTTTTCCCCACTAACTATATGAATACCGGTATGATTTTTTTTGTTTAACCAAGTAAAAATACCTACTTTATGTAATGGAGAAGGGGCTAAACACAAGTGCTTGTCCCAACCTTGTGTACAAGTTTCCTTGATGTACGCCAATGCCTATTGGCTATTGTAGAGCTATATTTTGAACAGGACCTTGTACTGTAGAATATGTATGAAAGCATCCTATCTTGCCATATGTCTATGTGCATTCTTCTATTATCAAACTCTATTTTGCTCATTCCATCATATTCAATCACCGTCACCATTCCCTCTACATGCTCTCGTGCTATGTTTACTCTCCCCAACTTTAGTCTCTTTTATTACTCCTTTCAAGTTTATCCTTTTATGTTCATTCTTTGGTTTATTGTTCTTCACAGTATGATTGGTTAAGCTTTGTTGAATATTCATAGCAGCTCATTGATACGCACGGAAATCTATGAATATTCACGTACCTCCTTTTATTTACCAGCTCTGATATTTGCATATGTATTAGTGACAGTTGATATAGAATGTACATGTAATTCCATGTAGATATATGCAAATAAACCCTCGGGTTGCAAAGCATGCATTATCCCAGGCAGTTCCCCACATACAAGCATGGAGTGCAGATGTGTGAGTTTGTTATGCTCTGCAAGTTAGAGACCCGCCGTGCCTTCGCCATGCCTTAGCCGTATGGTGTAGGCCACCCTACACTTTATTCAATGAACTCATTATAATTCAAAAAGTATATGCAGACGTAAAAACGACTTTAATCTTCTTGTAACATTATTCCAGAAAGGGGGTGCTTCCTATCATGTGCCCCCCAATATTTACTGCCCCACAAGAGGTATCAATGATGATCAACAAAAGGTTTGGCAAAAAATGCCCCTTAATACAGTTAATATGCCTACTTGCCCCCCCCCCCCCCCTCCTCCTCAAAAGTGCCCCTCTTTATATAAGTATTAGCTTATACCTGCACGTAGGCCCTACATACTTCGGTGCAATAAACTGAATATTCTATTTACTGCCATCATGTTGTAATCTTGCACTTAAAAATGTTAGCACAGCAATTAAGTCACTGTAGTATACAAGGCAAGGTTAGCTGCAGGTCCTAAAATTTGTAAAAATGAAAGAGTATTAAAAAATTACAATTGTGCCATGAAAAAGGTCACACACTCCTTTTTTTTCCTTTAACCCCCTCCCCCCCCCCCCCCTCCCACAACATAAGAGAGGCAGTAGTCATCTCTATTCGGGCACATCACTTGCTCCCCCCCCCCCCCCCTCCATCCACCAGTGATAATCCATATAAGCAAAGCTGCATCATCGTAATGTATTGTGGTAAGTACGTATTAGATCTAGAATAGAAGTAGACCTAGAGATAAGCAACAATTGCACTGCCAAAGTGTCCATGAGAAAGTTTCACTCTAAAATATGAACCTCTCTACCAACTGCTTGCATTTATACATGCAACAGCCGCGGACCGTCGAGCTCAGCTCGTGTATCTGGGGCTCGTTCCTAGAAACCAACGACAAGACAGTCATAACTTTATCCGCCAACTACGGAGATGTCTCTGATCTTCCTAAACCGTTTCACGAAGAGCTTACTAGCTAGTATCTCGTGAGATCGATATTATCGGCGAGAAGAGGAGCCGAGAATTAGCCTTAGTCGCAATACCACCAGATTATTACAAAATTAATATTAGGGAAAATGCAATTATTTAAATGAATTAGTAATAAAAAAAGATTGAAAATGATACCAAGAAATAAGAGATCCAATATACTTCCAAATTTGTGTAGATTAAACAATTGAAGTACTTGTAAAATATAATCGTGAGTTTTTCATTACATGACCAGTGAATCAGTTTTGTTGTTGAGATGGGCACCCCCCGAATATTTTCATTTGATAGTTTATAAAAATACACCCTTATATTATTCTTTGAAAAAATACGATGTAATGAAATTTGTGTTCAATGTTTTTGGCGTCAGCACAATATAAAAATCACAAAACTTCAATATTTCAAAGGTTAAAACTTATGTTTAAACCATTCACTTTACATAATTGAAAATAGAATTCATCTCGAAATTAATATGGGTCTGAAAACTAAAGAATACACTTCAAACTATGGCTTGCCTGCCGTGGCAAAATACATATCCCTTCGACGAGTTTACAATGTGGAAATAAAGACGTATAATCAGTTTATTTAAGTGGAAAAATCCTTAAATACAAACATGGCATATTTTCATGAGATTATCAAATACAAAAAATGATAATTCACTGTTTAAGTGAATGTGTAGAAAAATCATAGTTGGAGGATTTATTGTCCTTTTTTGCCAGCCATAGTCTACCCAATAAATGACATGTGATGGCGCTGCCCATCGACTAAATAGTTATGACAGAGATACGACGGTGTCAGAGGTGTCATAACTCCTTAGTCAGGATGTTGTCGTTGATCTTGGCAAAGAGGGCTTGGTGAAACACGTAGCGGACAAGTTGTTCACTAACGCTGATTTAGTCAAGAAGTTAGACTTATGACGGTTTGTAGGAACGGGCCCCTGCACTCGTGCATGCTGGAGATGGCCCGGCATCTAATCCAGCACGGCCACGGACTCCAACTAGCATTAGGCCGACAGGTGGCCGCGGGTTGGGTGCGGCGTTAATACTCTTCAACATACGGTTATATATTTCACATACAATTCAAATCTAGATCCAATTATACAAGACGACTTACCAAAATAGACAGCTTTATTACACTTTGGACAGTTAGGCATGATGATTGGTGTTCTAAAAACCTCGAAATACAAAATCAGAGACGGTGGGTGAGTGATATGCTGATTTCGTCTTCTGCTACAGAGTAATGGACCAAATGCATGCACTGTAATACTGCAATGCTACGTCGTGAACAAAACATTTAGTAGCGTGTGCAAATCACTTCATGTGCACACGCCAAAAGAAAAAACCTGAATCACATCCCGAATAATCATGTTTACAATTTTTGTTTTAAAGTGTTAATTACTTACGTTACTTTAATTTAATCCAGCGATGCTAAAGCAGGGCTCCCACTTAGCCGAGTTGGAGCCTCGAGTTGTGGCGAGCTGGCGCGATCGTATGGCAAGCCGTTTTATCATTAAAACATATTTCTTCAAGATAGAATTCAATTCTTGATATCACGATATCACGATATCTTGATATCACGAAATCGAATTCGTGAAATCGAGTTCTTGATTTTAAGAATTACCATTGCTTTACAACATAAAATTCTTTCTTGATAACAAGGATTGATTTATTGATATCAATTAATAATAAAAACGGCTTGCCATAAGATTGCGCCAGCTCGCACAACTCGAGGTTCCAACTCGGCTAATTAAGTGGGAGCCCTGCTTAAGGATAAGCCTGTTCATCGACCGTAGGTTTCTTCTTCAATGGTTTTACATTTTACTTCTCATTTCAAATGAAATAAGTGCATGGAAAAGGACAAAAACATAATGTGTGCAAACTTACAATATGCAATATCAGCTTAATATAGACAAGATCATGGTTTTTAGACCAGTATTTGTCTAGTCTATTATTGAAACAATTTACAGAAGTTGCTGAGATACTCAGTAAGACTGCCACAATTAAATCCACAACTCTGTTGCTATGAAAAAGGAAAATGGTACGGTCTGCTATGCTCGAAGGGCTCGATGACTGTAAAGTATAGGCCTTATTGTGAGGTATGTCCACTTGACCGAAATACGTAGGTCTATGAATAAAGACAATGGTGTAGTTATAGGTCTTAAAGTAGATTTAATATTTTCATTGTTATATCTAATTCAAGTTAGTGTACTGATATATCTAATGATAATTTAAAAGCTCGGTTGGTCCTCCCACCCCTCTGCATTAATCGTAAACTATATATAATTATATAATTATATAGTCTAGTCTCTTTCTTCTTCGTCATCGTCAGGCTTCTTATTTTTGTTCTTCCTCTTTTTACTCGACTAATTCTTCTTCTTCTTCTTCTTCTTCTTCTTCTTCTATGATCCGAGTCCTTCTTCCCTACGACCAAATGGCGTACTGCAGGCGCGGATCCAGGATTTTCCAATAGGGGGGGCCGGAAATTCGAAATTCGCGCAGACCATTATTTAAACTTACCAATACTGACAAGGTCATATTAGAAGCACTGTACTTTAATAGTGTACTGGTACCTACAAACGGGCACAATTATTTTGGAAAGGGGACAAAAAAGTTTCAAAAATCCAAAAAAATGTCAGCTTCAGAGGGGGGCACATCACCCCTCAGACTCCCTCTAAAAGTATTAACCGAATCGCACGAATCTAGGTAAAAAATTAAAAAATCAGCTTCAGAGCTAGAGAGGAACCCCCCCCCCCCCCCACACACACACACACGCACAGAGACACCCCCTGTGCGCGCAAGCGTGAAATTAACGCTGGCGCTAATGCGTAAGCAGGGCGGCGGAGCTATTTCCAAAGTGGAAAGCACCAACAAAAAAGGGCACCTACAAAGCGAAATCTCAAGGCGAAAATATACATTTTTTTAGACATTGGTATATACCCTTTCATTGTGATCCCATTATCAGGGACGATTTCAATATTTGTTTTTCTTTATATATCATACAAGTTATTGCTTAAGCATCACACTTTCGGCTGAGTGTGATTGTCTGAATATTCATTTGCGAGCGAGCAAAGCGAGCGAGAAAAAATGTAAGATCTGTGAGGTCGCAGAGTGAAAAATTACATCTTATAAAAAGGAAAAAACCAAATCATGATGGGGTTATAAGCATCACGGAAGACTGAAAAAACATTTGTTTTAAAGTGACATATAATTGTATCATCTATAAAATGCGAGCGAGCGAGCAAGCTTTAGGGGAAATTACTCTTAGTCGCTTTAAATTAGTGCAAGACTAATGATGAGCAGGTTAGGGGGCACGTGCCCCCCCCCCCCGTGCCTACGTGCCTGATGATGAGGGGTTAAGGGGACACATATCGAAAGGGATAAAGACACTTATTAGAAAATAAAAGGAGCATGTGTCAAGGTACAAAGAGTAATTATCAAGGTTTAAACTGGGCACTTCTTACACCTGAAAGGAGGCACTCACCAGAAATGAGATCGGGCACTTATGAGTATGGGAAATGGGCATTTGTCGACGGAAAAGGGGCATCCATCAGAAATTGATTTATCAGAGGTGAAAAGGGGCATTTATGAAAAGGGGATAGGTCCCTTAATAGAAAGGAAAAGGGGCACGATTCAAAATAAAAGGGCAGTTAGCAAAGGTGAAAATGGGCACTCATCATAGATGAAAAGAGTACCTATCAGGAGGGGAAGGGGTACTTTTCAAAGTAAAACGAGCATCTCTCAGATTTGAATAGGGGCAATTATCGGAGGTGAAGAGCGCACTGAAGTGAAAAGAATTAACTTCTCATATATGAAAATGGTCATTTACCAGAGATGAAAAGGGACACTTTTTATTTATGAAGGGCCTCATTTTTCTAAATAGCCCTTATCAGATAGGAAAGGGGGCACATGTGTTGATGAAATGTGCGCTTATCCGAGTTAAAAAGGGAAAGGGGCACTTCTTTACAAAGTAAAAGTGGCCCTTTGGGGAGGGGGGTACTTGAAGAGTGGGGCGAACTTTGCCCCCTACCCCTGCCACCCGCCCCATCATCTGAAAATCCAAAATGATGTTGTAGGGGCCGGGCGCGGCTTTATCATGAGTGCTTTTATGTGAACCTCTTTTTTTATAATATATTATGCTGGATTCCGACCCAGATTGCACACTCTAAAATGATAGTATGATCATCCCCAATACGCTTGTAGTTCACGTATGCACCCCTTCCTCCTAATTCGTCGTTACCGTCACTGCCATTTACGTATGGCCGGCCGGCGTATTTTTATTTACACGCTAGCGAGGGGAATTTCTCGATTAATTCCAATGAACATCCAGGAGAAAGTTTTCTTAACTTTTTCTTGAAACACTTGAACGGTTATGGAAACTGTTTGTGTTTCTAATCTCCAAATATTAATATTATTCTGCATCAAATATAAAACATTGATTTCTACTGTGATATGTAAAGGCACGAACTTACGTATACACATAATTTGTTTGTAACCAAGAAGGTGCACCATGGTAATACATTTTAACAAACACATCAACATGTTACCTAGACAACTCATCACCATAGCCATTGTAAAACCATATATTAATGATACATGTAAAATATAGATTGAAGTAATTCTCGTCGATTGGCTGTATCCTGAGTGTGATTTATATAATGGATTTTGAGTAACATTTGCATCTACCTGTAGTTGAAGAATAGATACAGTGTATAACATCAATTAAGTTGGAGTTCAATTGGAAGGAAGTAACGAGGAATATTAAAGCAAGGGAGACTGGGAGATGAGGAAAGCAGGAAGTTAGAAATTGAGAGATTACTCGCGTGATAGCCTTGCATTAATGAATCCTTTATATAATGTTGTCTTGAGAGAAAGTAGACGATTTTTTTTAATTGGAGATTAGTGCAAGTATTAGATATATTGGAAATAGAATTGATGAGAAATTTATTTTTTATCGAGATCAATACATGGGGGGGGGGGGGCACCATCAAAATAGGGCACTTTCTGGAATACATCAAAATGTAAATCTACCATATTAAGACATTGATAGACGTACGCGCAACGCATGTCACACACAGAAAAATGAGAAGAAAAGAATGATTTTTTTTTTTTTTTAAAGAAGATAGAGGAAAAGGAGAGAGACAGAGAGAGGGAGAGAAAGAAAGAAAGAAAGAAAGAAAAAAGGAAGAACATGAAACTTAACTTTACACTTAGGCCTACATATTACATTTCCGACTGAGTTGGCTCGACATGTGCTTAAGTAGTCTGCGGACGAAAGTACAACAATACGAAAACAGAAGTTATATGAAATTGTCTTTAAGAGAGAAAGAGAGGTTAAATTCTAAAATGAAATGAAAGGGGGTATGTGACTCTCAAGGAGGAAATTACAATTTCTATCGCTCATATGACGACTATTTGGAATTTCCTAATTTTTTTTAAAGTTCAAGAACTTCCTGGGGCTCCGCCCCATGCAAGACTCCCGGCAACAGCGAATTATTTACACAATTTCTTGCTGTCTGCTGCCTCGAGATCACTGGAGCGAAGAAAGGTAACATATAGCAAGAATCCCTATTCAGTGAAGGATTTATCCCTTTTATTATTAAAGACTCCCGACAAAGGCTCTCCCCCTGCAAAATTGGAGAGAGTTTTAATGTAGTTTAAGCTTCTAACAACCACGCCCGTGGACTTTTTATTATTTACACAAAGGTAAAAGTGTATAGCAAGAATCCCTATTCAGTGAAGGATTTATCCCTTTTATTATTAAAGACTCCCGACAAAGGCTCTCCCCCTGCAAAATTGGAGAGAGTTATATGTAGTTTTAGCTTCTAACAACCACGCCCGTGGACTTTTTATTATTTACACAAAGGTAAAAGTGTATAGCAAGAATCCCTATTCAGTGAAGGATTCATCCTTTTTATGCAGATGCTTCTTCTACCATTCTTGACCAGAAGTGCGTTTCAAACTCAATGATATGGGCATCATCCCATTGAATGTTGTGTCCAGTGTTACGGGTTTGTTTTGCTACTTGCTGCCTAATTTGAGGGCTCTGTTGTGCTCTTTAAAAAGAGGACACAATAGGGGCGGCGCAATTTAAATATCAAGGAATGTATTAGAGTTTATTTCTAAAATGAAATGAAAGGGCTATTCGACTTTCAAGAGCGATAAAAACTCTAATCCATCCCTTGAAATTTAAATTGCACTGCCCCCATTCAGTGTGCCATTTTCAAAGAGCACAAAAAGGCTTCAGATTGAAGATTCCATCTCATAAAATTGTCTATAAGAGAGAAAGAGAGTTTATTTCGAGAGAAAAATGAAATGAAAGGGCTATTTGACAAGAGCCCTTTCATT